TGCCTAGCTTCTGGGACTGAAAAGGTTTATATTCCTTATTGGATCTTTTGATTCTAAAATGTAACAAGCAAATAATAATACCTAACTATTGGTTGAAAAGTTAACACAGATTCTGATGGCTCCTACTTGGCTTGAAAATCACAGTGTATTCTTCAAATGAAGTTGGTGGGGACATTTCTACAGCTTGATTTAAAAGACAGTTATTCCTTTAACATTTCTTGGCAATTGCCATTTATCCCAATCTCTGTGCATAAATTATGTGTGTATATTTCTTCAAGTTTAGTGACAAATTATTAAAAACATATTTATTAACTGTCTACACATTTCATACCTGTGAAAATAATATAAAAGAGCATCCACACTGACATAGTATTTCACAGTCACCTCCAGCCACCAAAACAACAATACACAGGTGAGAAGTGAGTTCTAGTTACATACATATATATATATATATATATACACATATGCACATATTATATATGAATATATGCCATAAATGTATGCAGTTAATGGCTCCCTACTGGTCTGAAAATACTAAATTCTTGTGCTTATGGAAGTACAAAGAATTCTTGTACAAAGGAAGATCTAGCTGACCTTCAAGTAAGCTGGCACTAACATTTAAGCAAATTTTTAGCATCTTTAAGTAGTTACAAGGTCCCTTAATTTGTTTTATTTTATACTCAGCTCCACACAATGGAGCATTTGATTTTTAAAAATACTTTTTATTATGATGATAACAGAGATATTTACTCAGACACTTAATAAACATGTTCAGAAATATAAAGATGGATAAGGGACATTCACTATACTTGATGAAGTCACAGTCTAGGTAAAAAACAGACCCATAAACAAATAATTAAAACAACCACCACCACAGCAAAATAGAAGTACAGTGCTAAACACAGTACAGGCAATGTACTAGGATGATACTGAAGAACAGCCTGAGAGGAGAAGTAGAGTGTGAGTAGATTTCCTGGAGAAACTGGCCACAAAGCTGATCCTTAAAGAATAATTAAGAGGACAAAATAGAGTGAATATAGAAGTTTTTGAGATCTCAGATCATTGGCTAAAAATGATTTGAATACTTAATACTCTCCTGCTCTGGACCCAATATTGTTTTAATTCATATTATGATAAAAATAACCATAGAGTGTAGTCCTTGCCTATATCACAACTTACAATCTATTTAGGAAGTAAGGCATATACCCCAAACAAAGTGTTAATGGTGGACAGTAAAGTATAGATTACAATAGCTAATGCATTCATTTATTCATTTAACAAACATTTTTGTATATCATTTTGTATATATATGCCATATACTATTCTAGGCCTTGGGGATATGGCAGTGGACAAACACTCAAGGTCACTGGCCTCATGGAGGTGACATTCTAGTGGATGTTAATATATGTAATATATGAGTTTAAAAATCAATATCAATGTGTTTCAGGTAATAGCATCCCAAATCTTAACTGTGTGAAGCAACGAATATAATATGCAAATAGAGGATGTCCTTAGTCAAAAAATGCTGTCAATAGAAAAACTTAGCCAAACATTCCAATAAAAGATTTTCAATTCTTAAAATATTTTGTATGTTAATTCACAACTACAGTTTCCACTAATAATCAATGTTAACCATTAATAATATCTAATATTTATAGTAGATAGATTCTCATTCTCTGTTACAAGGCATATTTTTTACTCAATTTACTTATACTTTCAACCAAAAAAAAAAAAAAGAGGGCATCATTGGGCAAAAACAAAACAGACCTTCTAAGGATTCCCCAAATCCTAGAATACTATATATATTTAAATCTAAATCTTTTAAATGTACATCTTTATGAACTTTTGAGATGTGGGAGACAGAAAACAATAGTTTAAGAAGCACAGGATGGGGGCTAGATGTTAGCCAGTACATTTCTCTGTCATAGGAAGGTAGGAAGGGATTTAAGAAAGTAGAGAAGACACAAAAGACCAGTTGTATTTATTTGTACTTACCCAAGATCTGGTCACCCTCAGGTATTTGGTATGACTTGTCAAATAATTCTAAAAAGAGCTATATGATAGAAAAGAGTCAAACCCAGACACATACCCAGGTGTTTTATCCAGTAAAACTATGATATTGGGCATGGTATGTAGACTACTCCTCCTCGTCTGATAAGTCAGGATGATGCTATCAACCTACCTCATATTGATCAACAAGTTATCATAGAAAATTGAATTAAATCCAACACATCGAGAAATCAGTGCCATAATAGTTCCAGTACTTCTGGTGACCAAGAAATCATTTGTTGCCTTGCATACCTTGTTTCTCATCTTGTTCACTTGCAAGAACCAGAAAAGCTGAGGAATGAGGTTTGAGAGTGTAAGTTGCAGAAAGTCACTTCTAGTGAAGGCCAGTGCCTTGTGAAGAATGTTAAAAAGACTCCAGTTTACCAATCTCCAGGGAAGGGAACGGATTAACATAATTATCATCTAGCTTCAACCAGCGTTGATAACACACATTTATTCTGCATCAAAAACTTTCCTGACAGTGATGCCATGAGCTGCATAATAATCACTGTGCTTTAATTAATTACTTTGTTGTATAAATGGATGAATTAATTTCATTTACATACCCCAGTAACCTCAGTTTCTGCAGTGGATTGCTTCTTCCTATAGCAACTATTTGGAATCAAAATACAAGTAGTACAAATTGCAGTATTAAGCATGACAAATGGTTACAGTATAAAGATTTCCATTTCAATTATCAAAATAAAAATATCACATGAAGTTTAGAATTTGGAGTGACGAAAACCTCTAATTCCTTCTAATTAAGGGAAACTATGAGAGCCTTTAGCAAGTTCTCTGCTCAATAGGTTTATTTGGTTTCTTGATCCTCCAACCAATCACATTAACGATGACAAAAGATATGCAAATTTAAACTGACAATAGTCAAGCCAAACTGCTCTGACTCATACCAACAGGGACATTTTCAGCATATATTCAGCTTAATTTTCACACTTGAAAGGGTCAATGTAACAAAAGAACATTTTAATAGTTATTCTTGGCTATAATCTGAAAGCTATCCCATAATCATTGACCAAAAACAATACAAACAAGAATCAAATTTATTTCACAAAATAAATTAACATATGAAACATGTACATGATTTAAGTCCAGCAGAATTGTGTGTTTACCCTGTCACTGTTGAATAATTGCATAGTAACAAAAAATATGCATTACTATGTTTGAGTTACTATTTTGATTATATGTTTTAAGCAAACAAAACATTACATTTTTGGTAGAATAGGTCATTCAGGAAAATTTGGGATTAAACATCCTTCCCCATTCCCCTCAAAGAATCCAGACTAATTCATAATGATTGAATTCTCATTAAAAATATATGGATGGTATAATGAAAATAATAACAAACTATTTAACTAAATTCATTTGTTTACTATGGGAATAAGTTTTATAAAAGGAAAAAAAAAAAAAAACAGATATCCTATTTTAAAGTACTACCATAAGTAGTACCTGAAACTTAAGCTACAATTTTCAAAAAACTACAGAATTTCATTTGCTTTCTATTCTTCTGCCTACCTATCAATAGCCTATAACAGACCTGTGGTAATAGAAAGACCAACTACAATTCCAATTTTGGAAACTGCGGAACTACTAAGTTCCAGTTAATATAGCAAATAAAATAACAGTGATCTTAGTTCAGTCCCTAGTGGACAAAAGTAGAATAACTATTACTTGGCATGATTCAGCAGGCGGTGACCTAAGTGAGAGTGACCACACAGGAACAAAAAAGAACATTTGTCCTTTCCCTATCTTTTATCTTCCTAAAGGGTTTGGTTGGTTAACAGACTAACTTAAAGAAGCCTAATTACATTCCTAACTATATGCACCAAGTGAATCTATTAGTTAAGGTCTTGAGGGAAAAGATTTTCACAAACAAGGACATTGCCTCCCTTCTAGTAGCAGAGTCAGTTGAATACAGTTATTATCTGCTGCTTATCTGTTACAGAATTAAAGGGATAACAAAGAGAGAATGGACTGCAGAAATGTGTTCATAATATAATAGGCATATCTTCAACAAAAACTTTTAAATTATTTATAGATAAATAGCTGAATAAAATGTTCAATTTGATTTATTTAAATTGGGATTAAATGCATACTCAACATTAACACTTATCAAGTGACATGGCTACTTAGACTCCCCAGGTACTGTTCTCTCTAACTACCATGTCCTGAGAAAGGAGATATTTCAGGAATATGGCAGAGCCCACAAGTTACATTCAGCCCAAATCCGCAGGTGCATGTCCTCCTGAATGAAGGAGCCAGCACTGGCTCTATTTCTCCTCTCAGAGTGGGCAAACCCTTTTCCTGTAAGTTAACATTAAAATTCATCTTCTTTATTTTTTCTCAAGGACAGAAGATGTGTATGACGAATCAGTCCTCTACTATGCTATAACTTGCTGAAATTAACAGTTCCCTTTACTGACATACACAATTTCTCTACCCACCCAAATATTATAGTTTATATTTATTCTCACTTCATGTTAATTTGACAAAAGGTTGAAAAAATATTTTGTGATGATTTTCCATCCTAGCTATAAAAATTTCCTGTTGCAGAAGATTTGATCTTAAATTGGTATTGTCATTATTATTTTCTTTTTTTCACTAACTTGCTTAATATGTACATGCTTTCTTTTTTAAAGTTGAGTTTTGATAAGCAGAATATTCAAGCTTCAAAAAAGAGAAAACTAGAAATGTCATAAAATTTGCCAGTGCTAGATACACAAATGGAGTGCTATCATACATTCATAGGTTTGCACAAGCCTAAAAACGTTGGCTTACCAAAGAAGTCAAACTGAGAAAGCAGTTTTGCATTTGCAAACACTGCCCCCCTGGAGCAAAAGGTAAACATACAAATGCCCTCTAAGGAACTCTAAGTTAGCTGCAGTGCAAGAACGGAAAAGGCTCCGTGCAATTAGAAACTGAAAGCAATGACTTACTTTTTGCAGCCACTGAGTATAATTTTCCATCACATGCTCCAGATGTTGAAGTTTCTGGGAAGAGAAATCCGGTTCCACGTGTGGAGCATCTCTCTGCAGGGCATTTGTGTTGTACTGGTCTGTCGTACTCTCACGACAGTTCCCATCGTGTTCTGGAAGAATGAAAGTGTAGGCACATTGCCCATGTTGAATCCGGTTGTATCTTCTCCCACCGTTTTCTGGACTTCGGCGCTGGTTGCTGCACCCTATGTGAGTCAGAATGGCAGCGAGGAAAGCAAAGGAAAGGAAAACTGTCATTGTACTGCCCGCACTCTGCTTCCGTGCCTCTCGCAAAACTTGCTCCTTTCTTCTGACCTTTAAACTAGTTCTTTATTTCAGGTAAAACGGCTTGTTTGTTTGACTTTTTCCCCCTCAAAGAAAGCGTTTGAAGAAGAATCATAGAAAACTAGCCATTTGTTAGCTTTGTTCTAAAATGTTATTTTTTTTATTTCACTGTAATTGTAGTTTCCTTCGTTAAAACTTGAGATATTTATTGCATAGTAGCTGAGATTTATTGTTTCCTTTCTGTGTAACCGTTCAGCTTGGAGCCTGCCTGAGTCAGCTGCGTGTACATATTCTAGACCCTTTCCTCTACCCTATCTGCTGCAGATCTGCTATTTTCTCCCAGACCTCAGTGAGTTTTATTAAGGTTGCACATCCAAGCCAAGCTGGAAGCAGGCAGCCTTTCACAAGATGACTTGACAGGAATGCATGAGTGTGCCCCTATGCGAAGGATTGCTGATGGCTTAGGGCGGCGGGATCGTCTTACAAATTGGCTAGATGCGCATGACCTCGATCATGTATGGCCCTCCCGCCGCCCCTTTGGCAGACAATTGCCTTGAGCCTTTAGCAGATTCATGGAAAATCAATAAATAGAGCAGTCCACCTTAATACACGTTTGGTGTGCATGCTGACCTACTAAAATCCAGCAAACTAGCAGAATGTTTTCAAAGTCACTATTTAATTGAGGAACCCTAAGAAGAAAATTGGCATAATGTCCAATAAAATTATTTTTGAGAGTGAATGATAAATCTTCAAAAATTATTTTTGATAAATTTCTTCAAAAAATTTAATCTTGACTTTAAGGAAAAATATATTAAAACCATTTTTAGAGATGGTATTCTTTCACTGTATTCACTTAGACTTTTAAGAGTTAGAAAAAATAATCAGAGAGGATCAAATTAGCAAGAAAATTACCTTAATTTGTCATTCACAGCAATATAGCATATGGATGTTAAATAGAATTATCCAGGTACCTTTTAGGATATAGATCTTAAATGAAACTGGTGCCCTGATCAGAATGCAGCTCTTCATGTTCTGTGTATATAAACTGAGCAACTTCCCTACAAAAACAATGTGGTTACGATTTAAAACAGTGGCCTCAGAATTATTAATTCCTGTGGTGCATCCTAATCATACATTTCACAAGAACCTCTTTAGTATTGCTATGGCTATCTTTAACACTGGTGTGGAAGTTCCATATAAATCCTCCTGTGGCTGCATAGACAAACCATCTGAGAACAACCATATACCAGGTGTGCCAACAGCCGGCAATGTGCTGTACAGCAGACATCTATGTGGTTCTAATAAGACAGAAGGAAAAATGATCAGAAGGTGATTTCCTTTAAGCACAGTATAAACATTTGAACAAAGGGACCACCAAAATATAAAGAACAGGTGATAATTACAGAACTTAGGGTACAGGTTTGAGATCTTTACTAGATGTGTGCAGAAAACATGAATTATAAGCAGGAGTTTTCATCAGGAACTGGAGAGATTTTAGGCAATGGAGCCTCTCAACTGCAGACATAGTGTAAAAACAGAAGCCACAGATGTCATCCCCCATGTTCTGGAATGGGAGCAGGGCAGTGGGTGACGGTCAGTAGTGGTTAGAGATGGACGTTTAGGGAGAAGTTAGAGGAGAGGTCAAAACAAATTCCAGAAAGATTGTGATTTACTTGAGGGGAAAAAAAACGTGCTGAGATGCATCAGCTCTTTCTACACCAAATAAAAAATTTCTGATTGGACAGATATGGAAGCAAATTATGCCAAACAAAGCAAAAAAAAAAATTCTTTAAACCACTTTTGCAGCCTCCTCTTATACTATTGCATGTCTCCCTGTTGAGTGATGTGTCACTTCTGTGTAACAATAATAATGACACTTATTGAGAGCTTACTACTTGCTTGGTTAAGCACCACACACTATCTCATTTAATCATTACAACAAACCTAAGACATGAGTATTATGTTTAACCTCATTTTATCAATGGGAAAACTGAGTCACAGAAAGGCTACCTGGTCATAATTCACATAGCTAGCAAGTGATGATGCCAGTATGTGAACTCAGGCAAACTGACTCAGAGCCTATGTTTCTAACCACCAGGCCAGCCTGTCTTTGAAAAATTTCTGCAAGGAATAAAAGCAATTTCTAAAGGTCTCCAGATATGTTGATTTACAGTCCTAAAACAGAGTGAGTGATGGTACCTAGGAAAAAAAGGGTACTGAAAGCCCGTTTACACCTCCAACGTGATTTAATCCTTTCCCTCCACACATGCACACACACACACAAAGAGACAGGTAACCCATACACCACAGTCACAAGGATTAAGTGGACTGGCAAAGCACAGATTGTCTAAGAACACTTTCCAACATTGCTGGATTTGAAAATTATCCATGGAAAGAAGAGAGTCCAAAACTGACACCTATAAGTATTTTTTTAAGAACTAAATACAGCAGAAAACTGGCAGAAGACTAATAGATGAAGGGTAAGGTCTCCATTAAAGTGCTCCTGTGTTTTCAAATAGCTGAGACTGTTAAAAATATGTTCCTCCACTTATGTGTCTGTATGTGTCTATGTGTGCTTGTCCACATGAATTCTTCCAACTTGAATAAATGAAAAGAAGGAATACATAATTTCTTGAGGGAAAAGTAGACAATTAAGAAGAAGGCTGAACTGCAAGTTTAAAAAAGAGAGCTGGGGGTGGAGGAAGAGGAGGGGAGAAAGAGAGAGGAAAAAAAGATAGAAACTAATTATTTTTTTTCCAGAAAAACAAAAACAACCAGAAATCATAACACTGGAAGTACTGGTGTCAATCAGGAAAAAAATGACTGAAGATCAGTCTTAAGTAATTAGAAAACAGAAATGTGCAAAATTGATCCTATGTTTTTAGAACTCCAGCTGAGAGACAGTAGATACATTTAAGGATCTTTACACACTCAAGATAATATGCTTTCAGGGCCATGAACTTAAAAGATAACCACACTCTTGGTGGTTGCTGGTTATTCAGAAATGGTGCACAATTTATAAGATGTTAAAATTTAGGGAACACTATGAAGAACAGGCCAATGTTTTATTAAAAAATTCTTCCACCACACCTCTAAAAAAGGTAAAAAATTTCTAAAAACACTAAATAATTCTATTCAATTGAATTCTGAGGTAGCTTGATCTTGAAAGCTTTGTATAAATTTGCATTACTAGAACTCTGCAATAAGGAAATGTAGGCCCTAAGGTTCTGGTCTCATATCTACAAACAGTCCTACTAAATGTTCCACTTGCTCAGAAATTTCAATGGGATCAAGAACCATTTATACCAAAACTTAATGACTTAAGAACCAGTCTTTGTTACTTCTTTGGTAAAGCTTTCCTAATTTCTCAAGGCCTGATAAGTGGCTTTATCTGTTGAATTTCAAAAACCTTCCCTAAAACAGCACTTCTCACTTCTTTTTAATTGTTTCTTTTTTGGGTCTGTCTCTCCCTTTAGCTGTAAGCTCCTAAAGTGATCTCCTCTTTTCATTATTGATTACCTAACACTAGCTACACACTTTGTTTGCAGGAATGAAAGAATAAACAAATCAGTGAATGAGCTAATTAATTACTTAATTGGTGCAACTTCCTGATTCTGTATCTGGCTACTACATGACTGGCTACATCCCTTACATTTGTTGAGCTAGCTAGAATTCATAGGTATAAAGAACTGGGGGAAAAAGCACAACTAAATCTAAAGAATGAGTTAGACACAAGAACATAGTACAATAATAGTACATAGTATTATTTAATCCTTAACAAATAGTTTTCTTAATGTTTATAAAACCCTCATAATTATATACTTATATTATAGCATATATTATTATTCCCATTTTGCAGATGAGAAAACTGGGGCACATAGAGGTTAATTGCCCAAGATCTAGGATTTCTTAAGTGGCAGGGCAGGAATTTGATCCTCCATCCATTTAACTCTGAGGCTCACATTCATATCCTACTATTGCTAACAACAATTCTTCAGTTTAGGAAACAGGGAGAAAACATTTCTTAGAATTTAAGTAACAACATACCAAGTATAACTAATATTGGTGCCCTCCTTCCTCTGTCCATGACTTTTATAGATTAATGTGATGATCTTCCAAAACGGGACTAATATTAAGCCAGAATGCACCAATATGGTTGTCCCGTCTGCTTACCAATAACCAATCTGATTGATCAGGTTATACGTTGGGTCCATTATCAATGGTTGGTCTTATGCCATAGCACCCATTATATATCTTGATTATCATCCCTGCTCTAAAATAAAATTAAACTATATAAAATAAAAAAGAGTTTATTTCTCAAAACACCAAACTATGAAATACAAGGAAGCATGCCTCTGGTATTCATACCACCCCCTGTGAGGTAAAAGGGGGTGGGAGAGTCTCCTCCTGTCCCGTGTACAAACACAATGTGGTTCAGCATGATGTGGGTCCCATACTCTGTGGCTCTGCTGTGGCACTTTTGGGGGCATCAAGACTATTAGGAGAGCTATGGAAGTGGCAGCTCTATCTAAAAGGAGGCCACACAGTTATCATCCCGGGAAGTAGAGCCAAGATCCCTTCACTCAACTCTGTAGGCAGCAAAGATATCCACACAGATGGGAATATCACAGGGGCTAAACCCCAAACACAAGAAGACACACAGGTAGGTGAGGAAAATAAAAATTATTATATAAATATTCCCCTACCTTTCCAGGAGAAAAATTCCTGGTAATTGGTGGGTGTCTTGCTTGCTAAGTTTTTTAACTATAGCTATGCAAGTTGGAAGCAGCTGAGACATAATTAATTTATTCTATCTAAGAAATGACAGAAGGGATTGAGAGACTCAGGGAAAGACCTGGAAATGGAGGACTGGAGCTAAAGAGGTTTAGAGGGTCTATGGGAAAAGGGTTGAAAAAGAGAGAAATTGTGTGTGTCCGCAAGAGACATGGGAAGATATATCACGTAGGGAGGTTTGGAGTGAAACTGTGTTTCCTGTGAGATAAAACCCCTCTTATCTTTTTCAGTAAAATATGTGTTTTGGAGCAAACAACTTCTTAAGGGTGAATGAGAAGAACCTTTGGTCCTTGCTCCATACTTGGAAACAGGTGGATTACATAGACTAGTAATGTGAATACAATTAAAGTCATTTATTTCATGCTGGTTTTTCACACTAGAGCAGGGCCCCAAGGGCTAGGACTGTGTCTGCCTTATTGATTGCTGTCTCCCCTTTTCCTGGCACTGAGGATAAATTTCCTGGCACTTGATCAATATTGGTCATGAAGATGACTGTCTGACTGATTCACTCACTTTAATTCTTAGAATGAGATGTGAAGACACAGAAGCATCAACTATTCCCTTGGAGATTTTCAGGTACTGGTCCTGACAGGCCCTGAGACATCACTTTCTGGCAAGTCACATGGGGCACTCAGGACCCCTAGGTTCCAGAGTGAATCCCAG